AGCAGGAAGCCTCGCTTGATTTTTTGGATTGGTAAATTGGTCTCGACTCAAATACGCATCTACTGGTGCCCCAAACAGTGGGTCTCCTTGTTGGTGTGGCTGATTCGCTTCTTCCATACAAGCCAACTCCCATTTATTCAGAAACAAAAGTTGCAAGTTAGGGGGAAGCAATGTTTGAACAATCATTTTGATATCATACGGGGTTAAGATATATGCAGAAAAAATATGGGCAATAATCGATTGAGTATATGGCGCTTTTAACCCATAGGTTGTTACTGCTTGATGAGCCTCCTTTACTATTTTTAAATCAAACGTTTCCCAGTCCTTTCCTCCCTGTATGTTATCAAAAACAGGGAAAAGAGAAGGACCTTCAGAAAACTCCCCAGTTACCACCGCGTTCTCAATCATCCCTCGCCACTTTTGGGCTGGATTAACACACCCCGTGCTCCCATTATCCCCCTTTTCCAAACCCGCTTCCCGGTGTGGAGGAGGAAAAGAAAAAGGTGGCACAGTGGGTATAGCGGTCTCTTGTGTCTCAAGAGCTTTGAGTTTTTTCAAAAGCTCCTGCAACTGGGCATCTCCCAGACCCGCAGACACCTGTCGATGGAGTGAACAAACAGATTCATCCTCTGAACCATCATCAGAGTCAGGAAGAGGAGGACACAGGTCTAGCTCTGCCTCAGGGGATTCTGAATCCGGTTCCAATTCAGACTCCGGGTTGTCCTCATTTCCTGCACCGGCAACTTTCCACATATCTTTGGCATTCTGCACGTTCTTATCGGGTTTTGGAGGTTTTTGGGCTTGTTTGCCCTTTTTAGAAAAATCAGTCACAGTCCTTTTCGGGACACTCTGCGGTACGACAGGAGGTGCAAAGGCCATTGCAGAGGCATTTTGTCCTGCATTTTTTCCCTTGCTACCCTCTGGGGCCGTAGCCATCAGCACGGACGCAACTGCGGTCCTTTCTGACTTTACGTCCCTAAGAGTCTCTATAACTAACCTCCACAATGTGGAGTGCTTCTGAGCCTCTTTGGACCCTTTACTGATTTTGTCCCACAGCGCTTGACCAATCCGGTCCCATTCTGGAACCCCAAACGCATCTTATACTGAGGGCAAAAAGCCACGATCGCGGGACCATTTTAACAGCCTCTGAAGGGCGGCACTGTCATATTGCAAACCTCTCTTAGAGAGAATGTGTTGGAGGAGCTTCATCACCGCCTGTTCCTCTTTGGATAGCGAGTGCCCCATCTCCTCCCCACCTGATCAGGGCGAGATTCCCGAAGTTTTGCAGACATCTGACTTCCAGTGCCGGGGCAGCGCCGCTTTTGGCCGGCTCACCGCCCCCTCTTTTCCCGTCAGTCCTTCCACCTTGGCTCTGCAAGGTACCGATCTGAGGGTCCCTGTTCGGGCACCACTCGTTGACGCGGGAGTCATGGACAACGCAGAGACGATCAATGTGATCAAGCGACTGCCGTTTATTGAGCATCAGACATGATCTTTTATATGCAAATCCACACATTGATTATATGCTGATTGGTTAACATGCCTTGCCAACAAGTTTCTGATTGGGCTTTACACAAAGTTCCTTAATACAAGTTACAACAGCTACTTATGTTTAGCACTAACCTCAACGTTCTTACACTGCGGTTTTACATCCTGTTTTTTGTTCTTAACATCACTAAAGTTACAATTTCATTTCCCCCACTGCTATCCCTGGCTAACCTCCCCTCTGGCCTAGTATTTTTCCACTTACAGAGAAGCTCTACTTATGCTGAGAAGCCCGACTCATGCTAACTAAATCCATACAACAAGCTTCTACGACATGTGATCTTTCAACCTGCAGAGAGGGCTGCTCTGAGTAAGAGATGAGAAACGCTGCTGTCTGCCAACTAAAAAAAAAATACAGAAGACATTATTTGTATATCCATATTGTCATCTCCTGTGGGAGTAATTTTCATACTACTTGTAAAGCTACAGCTACTTCACAGCAGTATTCTTCTGAAATCTGCTGGAAGCACCCTTGGTGAATTCTGCTTCTCATAAACTCATTTTATCCATGTATTGATAAATCCCACCCCTGTTGGAGCAATGCTGGGTGTACTCTTTCTGTGTTAGGATCCATAGAATCTCAGCTGGTTTGCTGCAGAGTTGCAAAGGCTCTTCAAGTACACTTGAGACTCACTTTATCCTTACTTAGATGGAGGGGAGAAGAATCTTGCAGGAAAGTGCTTTTAGTCATTATATCTCAAGGGGCTGGAAAGACTGTGCAGGCCTTAACCTAATTACACCATCAGTCTGTCATGAATATGATGAGGAGGTGTCTGGGAAGCTGCCAGCAGGCTCAGACAGGGTCTCCAAGGCTTGATCTTGGGGATTTGTACAAGGTAGTGTGCAGGTTGCCAGTGAGAACCACAGCCAGACTGAGGAACATGCAGTGCTCTTGGGCACCGTGACATTTGCCCATCAAGTGATGGTGTAGCTGTAACATTCTGGCATTATCTAAAGCCCAGTAAAGGGAAGGATCCATGTTACTGGAATTTGGAGCATATAACTGTGACAGAATGCCTGCTTGTCCATCTGTGTCTGTGCTCTCACCCATGTTAAAGAAAGGTATGTTTCCAGGAAGGAAGGCAAACCAGGAACAGTAGGGAAAACCAACCTGAACGCTGGAGCACTTCAAACTACATCCTCAACACATGAAGCTGGCCAGCCTGCAGCAAGCAGAAGAATTCAGGGTGGGGGACTATTGATGCAAGGCTTTTGGATCTGTGCTGGCCTATCTGCATCCATCCATCTTCCCAGTCACTTGGAAATGTATGTTTATTTTGGCAGTGCTGGGAATGGCAGTCATCTGAGGGGGGTGGGTTCAGTTGTTGGCAGAGCTGTCTGTAATGCTGACACGTGAAGGACATGACCACATGCTGTACTGTCACAGTGATACTTTAACTCCGTAGGTACAGACCAGCAGCAGATCCTCTGTCCTGGGTGTGTTGGCTGACAGTTGTTTGGTTGTGTTTGTGTTTTTTTTCCTTTTACCAAATAGTCCCAAAACATCAACTGGAACTTTTTTTTTTTAATATGTTGATATTAAAAATGTATTCTGTAGTCATCATAATAAGGATCTGAAAAGGGTAAATACATTCTTAGGATATATCAAATCAGAGTCTGACTCAACAGAGGGAGATATAAATACCACTGCCTAAAGCCCTGCTGAGCCCTCACATTGAACAGGGCTCTGGCCCAACAGCTCCCAGGAGGAGCTCCTGCTCAGACAGCTTGCAGGGATGAGTGGGAAACAGGGAGCCTGGTGCAACAGAGGGAATTAAAAATGTTGAGGATTCAAACCTCCAGAGGAAGAGCAGCTGCAGTGTCTGTCCTTGAGCATCTTGAAGTACAGAGCCCAGCCAGGGAAAGGCTAACATAGTGGTGGCGTGTGCTCTATGTGTTAATTCCCCATAGGCTGCAAATGAAGAGGAGGCTGTTGTGGGTTGAGGCAGCTGGGGCTGCTATGGGAGGAAAAGCACCTGGGCAGTCCTGGCTCCCTTCCGGGGAGAGGATGAGCTGCAGCCAGCTCTATGCATTAAAAATCACTCGGCTGACCGAATTACATTTAAGGGGTTGTTAATGGGTTGTTAATCCTGTTATGAGCATTGCAGCTCAATGGTACTGGTACAGGCCAGTGAAATGTGTATTGGGTCCAAGCAGTGCAGGAGCCCTCCTGGGTCCAGGCCCTACGCTTCGGTGCTGGTGGTAGCTCAGGGACACTGGGCATCTAGGAGCACCATCTGAGTGTCAGGAACCCACCTCCAAGTGGCACACGGAGGCTTTTACGGCTGGTTGTCTTAATGCTGAATGACCCCAGGGAAACCAGGCAGGTGTCATGTTGCAGCTGATCTGGTTATTCTGAAACTTCTGGGCTTTGGGCTGGTGTATTGGAAGATGATTCAGCCTCACTTATTTTTTTAACCCCTACCTACTATTCTCTTTAAAAGTGAGGTGAGTGAATGTAAGTGTTCAAAACCCGTGTAGATGAGGCCCTCGGTAACATGCTTTAGTGGTGGTCTTGGCAGTCCTGGGGTAAAGGTTGGACTTGACGATCTTAAAGGTCTTTTCCAACCTAGCGGATTGTATGATCTTTCCTGGCGTGACCTTGACTGGAAATCCAGGAACCTGAGTTCTGGCATCTCCCGTCGCCGGCGCTGCCGGGGCTGTCGTACCGCTTGAGGGTTCATACTGACGCACGGTGACGCGCTTTCTAAGCGATGCATCGCTCGCCATTAAGGTGCGGCTGCGCTCCTGTTTCTGCGCTCCGGGCTCTAGGTAACCCCCCTGCCACAGCAGCAATCCGCAGCACCATCACAGACCCGCCGCGCCAACCACACACCAGCTTCCCTCCTACTTCCGGGTGACTCCTCCCTCGCTTCCGCCGGCGGCTCATACTGCGCCTGCGCGCCTAGATCTTCCTCTCCGCGGCGGTGCAGGGCGGGAAGATGGTGAGTGGAGTTGGGGTGTCGTGACTCATCCGCCGCCATCCGTGCCGGCGGCACTTCACGGCGCAGGGCGATGCAGAGCACCCTGTGGCAGGGCACGGGCCGGGGCCTGGGTGGGGTCAGGGTCTGTCCCGGCGCTGCCTGCGAGACGGGCTCGCTCCCGGCTGAGCGGCTTGTGGGAGATGGCGCGAGTTGAGGGGAATGGCAGGTTGAGGGAGTGATGGGGAGACGCTGGTGAGCGGGGGGGGGGGGGGTCCTAGGGAGAGGCGGTGCCGGGTCACAGCGCTGAGACTGCTGTAGGGGTTGGTGGTGCCTGGCGGGCAGCGCTCCGTGTGAGAGCGGGCTGGGCCTGCGGGGGGACGTGGCTCTGCTCATGCTTGGCTGCCCGAAGTGGCCCGGTAGGAGCTGGGAAGCCTTGCACAACTAACGCGCTTAATTACAGCGTCAGGGTGAGGCGTCGGTCGGCTGTGGCGACGGTTTTGAGTGCCGAGCACCTTGGTGTGTCAGGAGACGGCAGCAGCTGAGGAGATGGCAGTCTCACTAAAGTTAAACTTGTTCTGGTTTGTCTCCCAACAGGCTAAGCGCACCAAGAAGGTTGGGATTGTGGGTAAATATGGTACCCGTTATGGTGCGTCCCTTAGGAAGATGGTGAAGAAGATTGAGATTAGCCAGCATGCTAAGTATACCTGCTCCTTCTGTGGCAAGGTGGGAGACCTCTTTCCCTGAAAATGTCTTGCTAAACAACTTGGTTACTGATGTTAGGAATGTGATTTGATGCTTTGGTAATTTTTCTACTGAAGAGAACTCCACTAGTTTTGAGACAGTGATTAGTTTATTGTGAGCTTTAGGCTACTGTCAGAGCCTTTATAAAATAAAAATAGTAGCTATTTCATATGCGTGTTTAATGATAGTTAAATGAAAAAAAATATAGTACATAAAATAGTGAGAAATATTGTTATACCATACATTTTAGGTATCTAATGAAAAGACCTAACTGAATTAAAACAAGGCATGAATTTGAGCTTCTTCCTGTCTTCAGTAACTGTACAGCTTTCCTGGAAGAAGAAGAGAGCTTGCTTTTCCCACTTAAAACTTTTCATTGCAGTTGCTTATGTATGTGTGCTGTATAACTGTATGAAAAAGAAATTCTGATAAGTAATCTTATATGCATATGTACATAATCAAAATTGACTCTTAAGTCTGTTTTTTGGCAGTTTGAGAGGCTCATCAGCTTGTACTTTATGCAGATAATGTTTTTTGATTATCTGTAAAGTGGGTATCTTTAAGTGGCTGGAAATTTAAAAATATTTTCAGCTGTTTATTTTATGTTTAGAGTCTTGCTCATGTGATGTGGGAATGTTGATAACCCCATTTGCAGAGCTTTCTAAATACAGTATAGGTCTAGGCAAACCTATTGTCTTCAGTGATGGGAGACTTGCCCTGGTGAAAGGAGTTTAGGTACCCACCACTTACTCATTAGATGCTGTTCAAAGGGGGTCCAACTGTTTCCCTTTTTCAGCTGTTGGGAGAGTGCCTTAACTTCCTCCCCTCCCCCCCCGCCTCTTATTACAGACCAAAATGAAGAGGAAGGCTGTGGGTATCTGGCACTGTGGATCCTGCATGAAGACAGTTGCTGGTGGTGCTTGGACTTACAAGTAAGGAAATAAAGAGGCTCCTATCAGCATTTATTGTCACCCAACTGAGACATAAGACAGCTTTTTTCTTTTTTTTTTAAATTTTTTAGTGTTAATATAGTAACCTTTAAGTAGATCTGTCTCCAGTCAGTGATATGTGGGTTTTTTTTTTTCATGCGTTGTTAAAATTTGATTGGAATGGATCAAACTGGATTTGATTGCTGTTCTTTCCAGTGTCTGTTGTGCAGCTTCTGAGAATGTTGCCTTTTACCCACCATATTACTGCTACTGGTTTTGGTGGGTCCCTCCAAAATTTCTTTATCTTGCTGGGCTTTATCGAAGCAGTTGTTTTATTCAGAAATGCAAATACTGCATCTTTTCCCAAACTTCAAATAAGGAATTTGAAATGCTTGCAAATCCTTTTCTTAAATAGTCTCTTCTGTGCCTCAGCTGTAGTAGCGTTTCTTACAGGAGCTGTAAACTACAGCTGCTGCTTGTGTGAGATATTAAGCTTGGGCCAGTTTTCTGGTGATGGAAGAAAAGGAGCAGAGAGAATGGCTGGTTCATCCAGCTATCTTGGGATGGAATCGCTGAGTGGATGACACCTGACAGATGTCCCACTGACTTACTCTGAAAAGAGCTTCAACAGCTGCTAATAAATCATGCTTCTGGGGATAATTTATTAGGCATGGGGATTATTTTTCCTTCCTTGATTCTTTTGACTGTATAAAAATCTTAATTATGTGAGGGTACTCTTAATTCTTCTTTCAAAGCCTAAGCTGCGTGTTTTGATTTTTTTTTTTTGTGTATGTGTGTGTTTACACCCCAACGAGCCTTTTCAGTCATAGGCACAGATACAATAGGCAAAACCAGATTTACTCCAAGAAAAATGATTTCCATGCTTTCCTTTTGTTTTAAAAGCATTGAATCATTGTAGTCCTTGTAATGGTCCTTTTGCTTACTCCCTTCCTTTACTCTCCTTCCCCCCACAGTTCTGGTAAAAGACACTGTTGCCCCGCACATGGCAGTCACTAGTAATCTGAGCCCACGTGTTTGTGCATGTAGTCAATGTGTGACTGACTAATTTGAGTTGAGATGTAGCTTGTGAAGTTGCATCTTCAAAAGGTGGCTTTGTTGTCATGAAAATCGAAGTGGAATTAGCCCCTGTTGACCATACAATCAAACTGTGACTATTGGAAATGATTAATGGTTTCTCAAAAAAATAACACTGTCATGGGTTGTTCTGCTGCTGTGACTCTACTGCATGTGATTCTGTTGCTTCTTCCAGTACCACCTCTGCAGTGACGGTCAAATCTGCCATCAGAAGACTGAAGGAATTGAAAGACCAGTAGAAACTCCTTCCCATTCTCCTTGTGAAACATCCTATTTTTCCCCTCTGCTAAGATCTGTTCTATTGTTGTTTTTATTTCAACAATAAAAATGTAATAATGGAGAGGAATCATGATCGTCTTTCTACAGTAATTCTGATCTGTCTTGCTGTGTGTGGTGGGTTGACAGTGACTGGACATCGGGCGCCCACCAAAGCTGCTCTGTCACTCCCCTCCTGAATTGGACAGGGGGTTTAGAAGATACATCAGAAGGCTCATCAGTCGAGATAAGGTCAGGCAGAGATCACTCAGCAAGTACTGTCACAGGCAAAACAGACTCAGCTTGGGGAAGTTAGTTTAATTATTACAAATTCAGTCAGAGCACATTAATGAAATCTTAGAAACACCTTCCCCCCACCCCTCCCTTCTTCCTGGGCTTGTTCCCAGATTCTCTACTTCCTTCTCACCAGTGGCACAGGAGGATGGGGAATGGGGGTTGTGGTCAGTTCATCACAGACATTGCTGCTGCTCCTTCTCAGAGGAAGGACTTCTCACACTCTTGTCCTTCTTCAGTGTGTGATCTCTCCCACAGGCTGCAATTCTTTATGAACTGCTCCAGAATGCGTCTTTTTCCATGGATGCAGTCCTTCAGGAACAGACTGCTCCAGCATCGGTCCCCTGTGAGGTCACAAGTCCTGCAGCAAACCTTCAGTGTGGGCTCCTCTCTCCACAGGGCCTCAGGTCCTGACAGGAGTCTGCTCCAGCACAGCCTTCCCATAGGGTCACAGCTTCCTTTGGCCATCCCTCTCTTCCAGTGTGGTGTCCTCCTGAGCTGCAGGTGGAATCTGCTCTACTCTGGGCCTCCGTGTGCTGCATGGGGACAGCCTGCCTCACCACAGGCTACAGCACTGGCTGCAGGGAAATACCTGCTCTTGCATCTGGAGCATCTCTTCCTTCCTACACTGACCTTGGTGTCTACAGAGCTGTTTGTATCACATACTATCACTCCTCTCTGGCTGTAGTTGCTGTTGTGCAGTTCGGAGGGGGTTTTGCCTCTTCATGTCACAGAGGTGTTACCCCCCCCCCACTGCTGATGGGCTTGGCCTTGGCCAACAGTGGCTCCATCTTGGAGCCGGCTGGCATTGGCTTTATCAGACACTGGAAGCTTTTAGCAACTTGTCCTACAAGCCACTCTTGTATCCCCCCTGCTACCAAAACTTTGCTACACAAATCCAATGCATATATACTATATTTATATAACTATGGCAACATTAGTAGTGTTATCCATCAGAGTGACTCTTGTTACTGGTGAAGCCATTAGAAACCGCTTTTCCTTTCCAGGTAATTGCATGCTTTGTTGCTTGAATGCACTGCGGTGAGTCTGAGGAAAGCTTAAATAGCTTGAAGAAGCCTGGCTCATCTTGATCTGTCCTTTGTGTCTGTGCTTGAGGAATGGTGTAACGTTCCATGAGTGGAGGAATGCACAGATATAAGGGCAGGGGAGAGACAGCATAAAATACTCCTCTGTCTCTTCCCATTTGCCTTTGAAAAGAGATTAGGGGAGTAGGGCATGTGCTGCAAGATGGAGAGAAATGGAGCATCATGGCTGGCTTGGAGATAGAGGTTGGAATGGTCAGAGAGCTATTATCATCTATTGCTGGCCAGTGCCACTAATTTTCCAGCACCAGCTAGAGATGATTGCTTACTACAACCCCATAGCATGTCTGTTGCCTGCAGATCTCGACGTTATTCCACCTGCATGCTCTCTGAGGCTTGTTCTTTCTAAGTGTAATAGTAGGCTTCCAGGGCTGCATGTTCAAGTTGTCTAATCCATGCTAAGTTGCAACAGTAAATCTTAATGTTGAGCCAACTCCTGGGACATCCAGTCTTGGAGAAAAACCTGCTGTTTGAGTTAATAATTGTCTCCAGACCATCTCTTTAGACTGTCAAGCTCAAGATGCTGGAACACTTTTTATGGTCTGATAGTCAGGTGAGTTCTGATTTGGTTTGAGTTTTTGTCTGAGTTCTTGTCTGAGTTTTTGGTGACTACAGCATCTCTTCTGTCCTTAATACAGATCAGAAAACATGAGTCTTCCTCCAGCTGCTGGAGGAAGAATAGTAAGCAGGAATCATAGTGGTTGCTTACTCTTGCGGCAGCTTAAGCTTTAAATGGAATTGGGTGATCATGAGCTATGGCAATAATGTCATTAATGAACCTGATCTATTTGAAAAATAAATTCAGAATTGGACCAAAATAGGAACCTTTTCCCAAGCTGCAAAACTTGTGTAGCTTGGGAATTTGTCTGCAGCATCCCTGAACTTGTCTAGGCTTTTTTTTTTTTTTTTTAATTTAGTTTTCTAAACTTCCTAAAAGTTTAGTCAAAATTTGTGTGTTCAGGTATCCAGTGTCATCCATAGCAACCTGCATATCCTTCATGTCACCTCCCAGCAGTGATGAGAGTCATTCCCTGGGACTCTGGGAATGACTTTCTGGGAGAATGACAAACTGCCATCTGGGGGATAGATCACTGCACATTTCTCCATTTACATACCTTGTTCTAGCTGTAGTGCAAGGTGGAGAATTGTGTGACAGGGTTAAAGTGGAGATGGCAGTGGGTCACTCTCCTTAGCAATGTTAATGTTAACAATGTTAATGTTAACAAACAATGCTCATTTTTGTATATGTAGATGAACACTATCATGGCCTGCTATGCGAGTCTTCTGTTATAGCAGGGGTACAGAGGAAACTTGTGAGTTCAAGAAACTCTCAGCTCAACTCTCTCGTTTTTCCTGTTGCTTTTCTTGTATGAGAGCAGCTTTTTTGTCAGCCCTCCCAGCTTATCCCTGGACACTGCTGTTGCTGGTCTTGGTTCATGCTAACCAGCTTTCTTGGAATGCCATCTCCAAGCTGCCTTGTACTTTCTTTTCAGTTAAGATGTTTCTGCTCCCTTGGGGATGCCTTGCATACTGTTGCATGGATAGCTGGAACATTCCAGTGAGCCAGCTTTTCTCCCAGTGGCTGCTCCTCCCACTGAAGATAGGGTGAATGGTGCATGAGGATGGCTTATTGCTACTGTGAGGACATCTCTGCTGCCTGAAAACCAGCTGCTGACCTGCCTCTGAGTTTGTTAAGGAGCAGTGCCCCTTACTTTGGCTTTCCTTCCTGCATAGGTTTATGAAGTGCCGTGGTCCAGGGGCTGCTTTGCAAGTAGCTGAGCCATCCTTTAGGGAAACCTCAAGGAGAAGGAAGGGTTGGGGAACTGGTATAGACTGAATGTGCAGAAACAGCCCTGTGTCCTTGCTTGGACCTCCAGGAAAACAGGTGATGTGGACGTGGGGGAGCCACTGTAGTCACCAGCTCACATGGACGTGAGTGAGCTCAGGACATATCTGCCACACATCTGTGCATCACCTCATCACTTTCTAGAAGATTTCTGAGCAATGATAACTTAAAAAAACCTGCAAAACTGCATCAAAATAAAGACAACATACATTATACTAAAGGTGTCTTTATGTGAGCCCTTTTTTGGGGAAATTGTGAAACCACATGAGCACTGATTACTTTGCTTGCTACTTCATTGTGAGAAAGGCTCTGTTGATAAAACACTTTGAATCATCCTTTGGTGATATGGCTGTACAGCTCTGCCTCTAAAAGGGGCTCTGCGAAGTTTGGGTTTCCCTGTGGAAGTCCTCGTTTCTGCAAGGAGACACTGTGCAGCAGTTGAAGCAGGGGAGGGCTGACAGCCTGGAAACAGCAGCCCAGCTTCCTGGGTGGTGGGCTTGAGGATGGGAGGGGGAAATGCTGTTTCCAGTGAAGTTGCAGAAGAGGTCTGAAACTCAGGCACCACCTGCATGAGGTGTTCCTGCTCACCTACTCACTGTGAACATGAGGTGTTCATAGGGATCTGCAGTGATACAGGGGTAATGGATGTGGCTCATCTGCCACCAAACAGTCGCTGCTATGCCTTCCTTGGTGATCACCAGAGAAAAGTACTGCTCAGTGCTTGGAACAGCTGCAGGTGTCCCCTGGTTAAACACATCCTTCTCTCTTCTGGAGTTCTTGAGCCACTAAATCCAGATGTAAGTGGCAAGCTAGTAAGCTTGCTCCTGGGAAATTTGGATTTACCTACTGTCTCAAAGACTTGTAGCTGGCTGTGACAGCTGTGGTGTGGATGTGTATTACCAGCTCTCCCTGCCTTTTACAAATAGGATGGTGATGTTCTGCATCTTGTCTTTTATTCTTGACTCAGTGTGCTTGGGTCACATTTCCATGTCTCTCTCCCCTCCCACTCCTGGGAGCTGAGATACAACTCTGCATAACTCTCTGCTTTTTCGTTAATGCAGAGGTCATAATTAAAGCACAGGTTTCTGATTAAAGCCCACTCAACTGCTATGAAGTAGCTATTAACAGATGCAGAGGATATGCTTCATTATGTTGATATCCCAAGGTGATTTGCACAGGTATCTTATCTAAGGTGACTTCTATTCCTGCTGAGGAAGTAATTAATTACCTTTGGGATTAATATTTGCAGAGGGTGGAAGCTGGGCAGAGTGAGAAGATAAATTTGTGAGATGATATTTTATCTGGACTCTGTGGTCCTGCCTGCATCCCTGCATGGGCTGTGCCCGCAGATCTCCTGGGCTGTTTGTGTTCTCCCAGAAGAGCTGTGCTACCTTGACCTGCTTCTGAGCACAGGCGTTTTGTGCTGGTGAACCTTCAGGCCTGCCAGTCCTGCACGTTTTCCCAAAGCGCGAGCAGGGAGGAAGGTGAAGAGGTCGAGAAAGAGGAAGGATGCCGTGGTCAGAGCGCTGTGAGCTGGCAATGCTGCGAGTGGCCAGCGGGCGACACTGCCGCTCTGTGCTCAGCGCTGCAAGGCGGCTGCTTGGCTGCATCTTCCCAGCTTCTCTTTCCATCCAGAAGGAAGGCTCTCTGCTCACCTGTGTGGCTAACCGTAGCTTCTTAGCTCAGCGTTTCATGCTTCCTCCCCCCAGATACACCGTGACGGTAATTTTAGACTGAAACAGGAATCTGTGCCAAGAGATAAGGAGGTAGAAATAGGAATGGGGAGGGTGGAGACATGAGGAGGTAGAAATAGGAATGGGGAGGATGGAGACAGAAATCTTA